TCTTTATCGCCTCAACCTCGGTGAACTAGGGCATCAAAACTATGCTGAATAGGGATGCTTTTAATAAAAAGACGGGGAAAGATTGCTCCCAAGTTTAGATTTTTGAGATCTATAGGCAACTATTTTCAGTTCTCAAGTACATAGGTCCGATGACTATGAATAAGGTTTTATTTCTTGGAGTGTTTGAGAGAATGATGAAGTTGTGGGCCACCTCCAACACAAAAAAAATTGAGTGAAAGTTGGCAATTATAGTCCAAATGGCCCGAAAGAAGACCAAAGATGAGGCCCTAGTGAAGATAGTTTCTGCACAGGGAATTGTGGCAACCGAAGGAAGGTTGGTTGAGGCTCACGGTGACATAGTAAGTACAGTAAGTCAGAAGTTTCTTTTATTTATCCTTACAACTATGGTGGTGGTCCAACAAATTTCCACTAATGATCTAACTATCATAGAAAGAAGATCCTTGTCTTATACTAATACTTATGTGTTAGATTCATCTCCTTTAGGTGCAAGTCGGTGAGAACCCGAAGAGCCATATGTCGCTCTAAAAAAAGCTAGGCCAACGAAGAGTCCTTTGAGGAAGGGCAAGAGCACGGAAAGCTTTTCCTCATCTTGTTGCAACATTCATTGGACTATCTGCATGCAATAAGGCCATTTGGCCTGCTTCTACCACCCAAACCAAATCAATGACTAGCTTGGTGTCGGTGTCTCCAAAGGAGGTACAACATTGTGAAGGAAATGAGCCAGTTCCTGAGTCGACTCTTTGACCTCCACCCTCCTATTGAAAGAAAAGGAAGGGTTCCCCATTCCCACTCGAAGTAATGGGAAGAATAACTAGAACGCCTCAATCAGTCGGTACAATGCCATCAATTGGGAGGTGGATTGGTATGATGGTTTGCTGAGCAAACTCTACTCATCTGCATTTGTTAAAGTGATCTATTGTCACACTCTTTACAAGCACCTTGGAGCGCTTGAGAGTTCTGAGCTTTATAAGAAGGTAGATTTCTACCATCTTAAGGCGTGGGAGGCTTCCCACTTCCAGTTGATGGCGTTCAACTAGGATAAATTGGGTTGCCGCCTCAGAAAGGGCCTTACCTTGGCCATGCTCGTTATGAAGGCTAAGAAGTGAGAAATGATAGCTGAACATAGGTTGGAAGCAGCGAGGAGAATATTGCTTCTCTATTGGATCTTTTGTAGATCTCCTTGCAAGAAAACTAGGAGCTAAAGGCAAAGTTTACAATGATGAAGACTGAGAAGGAGTCCTTTGAGGCACTCCCCTCTCACTCGTGGTACGAAAATATTCAGATCGAGCATCTTCGAATCGAAAGTTTCATGAAAATCAATCGCTTCATTCAGTCAGGCCATGTTGATCCAATGTTTACAGACTTGAATGAATTTGTTGCATTGTACACTAGCTCTAAGGGGACTTTGAGGATGTCTCAGATGCCAGAGGAAATATATGGTCCTTCAATCGGCTTGCTGAAACTTATAAATTTTTCTAGAAAATTTTTTTTGTAAACGTATATTTTGTAAATGAAATCTTTTGTATATAAAAGACTTGTAATGAAGCATCTCATTTGTACTTGCATACCTTTTCTTCTCTTTATTATTTTACCTTTATCACATTATTTTCTTGCGATAACTGCTTGTGATATGTATGATGTTTGGTCATCAGTCATTAGATAGGGTCTGTTTATTTGGATTTGGACTACCCAACTTAAGTCTTATAATCTTCCTTGCCTCATTCACTCGGTCAAACCACCGTATCTTCATACTTGACTTGGGTGATTTGCTTGGTACCTTTTATAGAGTTTGTTGCTACTGGGCAGGGAATCTCTTCGAGTGTTATTAAATTCGAGTTGAGAGGTATAAGTTTAGTGATTCTTGCATATTGAGGGTTGAACCTTGGATTTTGGATGTCGATCAGATGCTTTCCGCCAATGTTGGTCACCCTAAATGTTTTTAAAATGTCAAAAGCCAACACAAATTATGCACTGCCTTTCTCATTAGCTTCATTGAATTGATGCCTTGATCGGGAAATCGACCAAACTCATTTTTAGGGTGATTTTTATCATAAACTTTGCATAGATTTTCGTTAATAGTAAGGGAACCACCTCCAAGGCTTTATTCTTTTTGAGCTTTGAGATGGGCTTTTTGATGCTTGACATTAAAGGCCAGATTGTGTTAGGATGTCGATCGAACGTCTATGATGTTGTTATCAATTTATTTTATGATATTGTCTTCTGGTTTACATCTTACATTTTTTAACTTCTCGATTGCTTGGTTGGATTGTCATCTCAGTTAACCCACACCCTTCGCCAATACTTTGGCGGATCTTTTCATTATCTTAGTGAGGCTAACCGTCTAGACTCACTGCTATGGAGATTTGCATTGCACCATTAACACAACTTTTCACTACTAGACAGGGAACCACGAAAAGTATTGTAGAAACCATGGTTAGTGATGCAGAAGTGTTGTAGGCTATTTTGATGACATAACCTCTTTGGGGTCATTATTGGGTTTATTATTTGAATTCGAGTTCCTCAAGTTTCAATTGGAACTGAGAAAACATTAAAAGGATTTATAATTGCATAAAATATAAGTTTCAAAATGATACTCCCTTTATTCATTGAGCTAGGTGTCAAACACCCTGATTTGAATGAGGATTGTCGACTATTATTGGTAGGCTTGTTCCGACCGTGAGTAGCCGGTCGTCCGTTTTATGGTTCTCGCCTTCTAGCCAATGCCTCTAGGAAGATGAAGGAAATGAGTTTTTTGACTCCAGATTTGTTATTGCATGAACTCTTTTGTGTGCTCCATGTTAAGAGTGTCTCTACACTGTATTTCACCTCGTTGGTTTCACTTATATTCTTATTTATTGCTAGCTCCATACTCACGACATAATTTAGAATGTTGAATCCAAATTTGTCATGTGCGCCCTTCCCAAACATTGGAGCTGTTAGAATCGTGAGGGAAAGGTAGAGAGAGACAGAGAAGGAGAGAGCACACACTGACTTGCCTCGTAGGGGCAATTGTGGTTTTTTCGGGCTATAAAACCCATTTTATGTCTTGCAAGTGGCAGTTACAAGAGAGAAGACGGGAGAGTTCACCCTATAAGAGATGGTTCTAGAGATAAGAACCAAAAACTTCTAATACATGATATGATCTCCCTATTTATAGAAGATAGAAAAAATGTGAAATAACATGTTGTACCCATGCTTTAAAGGGGTTTTACAGGGTATTTTGGACTTTTTGCATGTCTGTACCTTTTTCTCTGTAGGTCTTAGGGCGGCCGACTGAATTATTTTTGATCGGCTTTTCTCTGTGCACTGGTCAGATTTCACTCTAGGATGTCGGTTGGTTCATGGTGTGTTAGCTGGTCAGCCTCAGGGAGGCCACTCGGCTTGCCTTATTATTATTCCTTGATGATCTCTGGAGATCATTTGGGATTTTTGGGAAATATTAAGAAAGCTTCACGTTGATACTTCTGAGCTAGTTGAGGTTTAGACCTTTGCTCGGTTGTTGGCGTGGATACATGTCTCTTGTTGTTCTGAGTGGCCCTTTGGTTTTCAGACTAACCTTGAGTCGATCGTCAGCCCTTCGATCGATTAGCACTCCTTCGGTCGATCGGCATCCCTTCGATCGATCGACAATCCTTTGGTCAGCTGGGAGGTCTTCAGTCGGTCAATTTAATAAGGACTTGTAGCTTTTCATCAGAGGAAGGATCCTCATTTTATCTCTTTTAATCTAGACTTTCAAAATGTCTTGAGATGTATGCAAACCATTTTTGAGTGTACAAAAACAGATATATATGTCATTTACTTTCTACTCAAAAAGGGAAAATTATTCTATCTTTTTATATTTTGACAAATCAATGGATTTACTTAAAGAATCAAAATTCCATTTTAGTTTGATTTGAAAACTTTATTCTAACTTAATTTTTTTTAAAAAAGTTTTAATTTACTTAAACAAAATAATGAAAAGTTTAATTATATTTTGGTTCAATGATGGAAAAAAATTAACAGTGTGATATAACTGTATTTTAAAATACAGCCATTTATATTTAATTCAAAACTACTTAATTCTTTAGTAAATTAAAAAATAAATTAATCGTTGAAGGCCCCCATAAATTTTTTTTTAATAAATACAATTTTAAATTGAAAAAGCCCCTTTTAATAGGTATTTTTACTCCTATTTAATTTTATAAAATTAATCTCCTATTGATAAAAAATTAATTAGGACTGCTGCTTTTAAAGTTTAGCCAAAACAAATGCTTAACAAACAAATTAAAACAATGCTTTCAACTAAAAAAATGCTCATAATGCCTTCCCCAGATATTATTCTTCCCTTAAAATAGATAGTATTCAACAGCATATAACAACAACAACAACAAACATTTATATCACTAAGTGAGAAAAACTACATGAATACTTTTTCTCCATTATGTCATATTTTCATTTAATTCTAATGAATTAAGATTATTTTTTATACATGTACAGTATTTCTAGATCTATATCTACCTTTCACAACGTAAGTTGCTCTTTTAATTCGATCATCTGATGATGGATGTTTAATGTGACCAAACTATCTAAAATAATCCATTTGCCGCTGGAGCTACTACAACCCTTTCACAAATATCCCTTTCGCATTGGATCTACTCCAACATAACGAATATATTCATTTCGCATTTTGCCTCCAAGTATAAAACCACTCATCCACTAAGCGCTCATCTTTTAACAACACTTATTTTGATGCCTCTCTTTTACAGACCAACATTCTGCAACATAAAGCATTGCAAGTCTCACTACCATTTTATAAAATTTTCCCATAGGTACAAGCAATACTTTTTATAACATAATAGGCCCAATCTATTCCTCCACTCACTTTCATAAAAAGTCACCTAAGGAACATGGATAAAGCAAATTCATCATAATGCTACATTAAATAAAGTTACTATAGATACCCAAGCATAATAAATAAAGTTAAATATCAACATGATGCAAATGTAACCAATAGAACATAAACTAGCACCACAATATTACAAACATATTATACAAGAGAAATGCCTCCTTCCCCTTACCAACAAAGTACAAGTTCTGCAGTAAGGAAATTCAAGGCAAATCTCAGCTTCAAATTGTCTTATTGCAACAAATATACAAAAATGAACATAAAAAAATACATAAATGCAGACCATACAACTACTCTTCCTTCTTTCTCCTCATCATAAGCAGATAAAGGGACCTAGTCATAGGTACAAGCATTTTTTGACAACTTTATGGCCTTGTTCTTGCTGGAATCAACTACAATTTGACATGCGGCATGCTTCCGATGCTTTACCTGAACCAGCTTTCCCACCACATTAGCTCGGGTAACCAAATCAAATACCAAAGTTAATGGAACCGAACCGCCGCTATTCGATAGAGGTAAGCCGGCGCCAGCTCCATATAGAGGAACCTTGTCTCCCCTCAGTATTAAAGACATAGTTTTATGGCTTTTTCTGGGCTGGTAATACTTCTCTAACTGCATCGAAATCGCAATTTCATGCATTCATTGGGTTTGAAATAACAAAGTATTTCACGGCTTTAATTTACATTGATGTACTGTTTTCATTTCAAACAATATTAAGCTTCAATTTTTCAAAATATTTCTGATACTCCACATATTTATCTCTACTGACTGAGAAACGGAACATGACTGTTAAACAGAAGAGTGGAACATTTCAATATTGCTGAAAGAGAAAAAGAATGGGAGTCAGACTTACTTGACCAGTAGCAATTACAATATCCAAGTACTTGAGATTAATGGGACTAGAAGTGACATGAATGCCAAATGCGGATGCTGGATTATATACATTGATTTTCAGAGAACAGTTCACTGTGATCAACTTGGTCAGAACTCCGGTGCTATCCGAGCCCTCTCCCGAATAAAAATCATCCATCGACAGGCTCTGCCTCGATAATACAATTGTTAAATTTAAGCCATTAATCATCACAGATAACAGTTTCAAACAACAACCAATAAGGGAATCAAATTATAGATTCAACAAATCGACTCTAGTTGTACATAGTGACTATGCCAACTTTTTTAAGTGTATCAAATGATCATAGAAGCATAAAACATCTACATAATCAGTATACAGAACAAAACATCAAATTCAAAATGCTAAGCTCCGTTTAAGCAACATGAAGCTACACAAGCAGGAAATGCCACAAGGATTTCTTCTGCTGATTCAGCTAATGCTTAGAAATGATAATTACTGCTGCTTTTACAAGATACCAACTCAATGTAATCATCTCGAATATATACTAAAGATAACATTAGATGACACCCATTAAATTCAGTATAGATGCCAATCCAAGTTACCCAGGACAAAAGCTAAGCTAACTTAAGCAAGCATCTATATAAAGTTCTTCCAACAAAACAAAAAGAATCTTGTAATATGTTTATTAATGCATATGTTTTCATTATATTAAATTCACAAGTCAATTTTACGTGCAGAGCCGTTGAATTAAAAACATGCTTATTGCGTGATGGAAGATCCACGACGGTAGAGTAATAAATTAGCATCTTAGTATTGTATAAACTTTGATGGCACAGATAAAACAAAAGCAAGCAGAATGAAACAACTCGATTTTTTATGTGAAAACGCAGAGAAAAGTAAAAAACCCATGAGGTCTAGCTCAGTTGAAATAATCTGCTATGTAATTGTAAGTACAAAAACTCACTATCCTCTTGAATTCGAGAAGATGAAATTATAATGTTAATGTACAATAGTAGTTCAACAATAATAGTTATAATAGTCCGCATAGGCCGTAGCCAATTGTTATGAAGGCAGTAACCTGCCATGAATGTTATTGACGGTGGTTGTGAGGGCTAATTGGTCGTAGAGGTCGTAATTGACAGTTGCGGTGGTAGTTGGCCAAATAAGTCGTAGATGGTTATTTTATTAGTATCAGTTGGCCATAGAGGCCATCATAGGAAGCTGCAAGAGCTGTAGGCCATGTTGGTCGTAAATGGTCACAAAAACTGTAGTTATGAACAATGATAATGTTTGTAGGCCACAGATGCCGGAGTTAGGAGCCGCATGAGCAGTGAGCCACGTAGGAAGTAATTCGTCATGATGGTCGTAGTGGTGAGCTACGATAACGTTTCTTTGCCATTGAGGTCGAAATTGGGAGATGCAAAAGCTATGAGACACGCTAATCGCAGTTGATCACATAGACCACAGTAGTGAGCTGCAATAACGATCAGAGGCCACAAATTGAAGTTTGAAGCTTCAAAAGTGGTAGATCAGGTAGGTCATAGTTGGTCACGTAAGCCGTAGTTGTGAACAACAATAATGTCCGTAAGCCACAGAAGTTGGAATTCAGAGCTGAATGAGTTGTGCAGAATATAGGCTATAGTTAATCACGTAGGTCGTAGTGGTGAGCTGTGATAATGTCTGCAGACCATAGAGGCTAGAGTTGGAAGCTGCATAAGCTGTAAGCCACATGAACCGTAGTTAGCCACATGAGCTATAATGATGAGCTGCAATAACGTCCGCGGGCGATAGAGACCGGAGTTAGAAGTTCTGCGAGTTGTGAACTACATAAATCGTAGTTGGTCACATAGGTCATTTTGGTGAGATACAATAATGTTTGTAGGCCACAGGGCCCGAAATTGAGAACTGCGAGAGCTGTGTACCTTGCAAGGCGTAGTTGGTTATATAGGCTATAGTAGTTCATCGTTACACTAGCTTCGAGGTGTGCTGTTGTACAGTCTTTAGGGTGCATCATTGCACCATTATCGGGGCGCATCGTTGTGGCGTACTTCATTACCCTACGAGGTCCACTGATGGCAACAAGCAGGAGGCGGCCAACATTGGTCGACTGCAATTATTAAGCGGTGGCTGACGATGGTCAACTTTTGCAGGAGCGAAAAATGTTTGTCAAGACTTCGGTGTACAACGATATTGGAATTCAACTCCCAATCTAGCTTTAAGCCCAAGTCTCTCCACTGTTATTAAGGAAGTCAGACTCTATGTATAAAATATGGAAGTGGCCTCCCTGTAAATAACGAAAGAATCCAACCTACTCTATCGAACGACATGAAGATATTCCCTCAATTGGACGATGTTTTGTGGCCATGTAAATGCCTTAACGATGTCAGAATCAAGCGATCATGTTGATTTGTTTCATCAAGCCATTTGATTTGACTATAAGCTTATCAGATTTGAAATTTGTTCGTCTTTCAAATTAACAACCGAAAATTCCAAAAGTAGTTTAACGACTTGATATGAGATTAATTTGACTTGGATAGGACCAACTTTAGTATCATTGGGTCTATCTCATTGAGCTGATCAATTTGCATGTAAGTTCGTTAAAATTGGAGTTTTGCAAGATTTTTAATTTGAGTTTGATTGTTTCTAGCTAAATAAACTTTAAGAATCATGACAATCCCTCGAGATTTGCGCCAAATGGCAAAATTTGTTGATGACATACCGGTTGCCCCTAATTTCTGTGAGGCCTCATTTGTATTATCTGAAATTTAGTAGAATAATAAAAATTAGGAAAATTTCCCAAAAAATAAAAAAATTTAAAGTTTTCCAACAATCAGCGGCAGACGACGACTGATGTGGCTGCGAAAAAGGAGCGGGTCGGCAGGTCCTAATAATAATCGGCAGCAAGTGCGACTGCGAACAGTGGAGCGAGCTAGCAGGTTGCAGTTGCGGGTTAGTCGTGTTAGCAGGTTGAAGATATTCGATAGCGAGCCGAGCTTGCTGACTTGCAGAATGCCACGCGGGATCAAAAGAGAAGGCAAGAGCTACCATGTCATGGATCAAGGAGATAATGGACCACGGGGAATGGTGGGCTTGAATCTGGCGGGATCTGGATGGCAAAGCATTGCGTGTGGGATTGATCTGAACAACGTGACCAAGTTTGCATGACGTAATTTTTGCAAAATTCGGTGGTAAAATGCAAAAACATATTTCAACATGGATTGCGTGGTCTGGCTGTTTGAGTGCGGAAAATCAGATGGTCAGTGTAGGTTGTCACTGAAAAACATAAATTTTGTCTACTTTTTGATATTTTTTGGCCTTTTCAAGCCTATAAAAAGGCCAAAAAGAGGATAAACAATTGCAGATTCCCAGTCTTTTGTTGTGCCATCAAATGAGTTCCCATCGTCTGCTAACTGAAATCTCTCGTCCTGTTGTAGTGCCATAAATGAAACTCAATTGGCCTGCTAACTAGAGTCTCTTGGCCTGTTGTTGTGCCATCAACAGAGCTCACTTGGCCTACATTATGTCACCTTTTGCGCTGCAAACGAGCACCCCCAAAGTCTCTCGATCTATTTTTACGACATCAACAGAACTCCCTTTTGCGTTATCGTCGCACGCCCTCGAAAAAGATTTCATCTTCAACTCTTGAGCTTTTTGGAGGTGATTTTTCAATGATGATGTTGTGTTTCTTGAGAAAAAAATTTTCATACTACTTCAAGATATCAATGTTTGGGGAATCCTGACCTCTCAAAAATCAGCAAAAGTAATAGAATCTTGTGGAGACAATACCAACACCTTTTAAAAATGAGTCTTTGAGGGAGTGGAAGATCAAGATTATAGACATCAACCATATCCTTGGCAATCACAAACATGTGAATAACTCTCATGCAATAGCCATATTATCATTGGTATGTCAGTTAGTAAAGTGCAGCGATGAATCCATGATGATTTTCTTCTTTCAGCAACACACTGAACTAATAAAAACTTGAGAAGAACTGAGGGAAACATGGGCTGGCCTCGATTAGAGCACAGAGAATTTGTAGACCTTTTGATCGAGGGTGCTCACTCTTCAAAGGGAGAATATAAAGTTGTGATCCTTACGTGCAGGTGTAAAATTTTGACAAATACTTACAATGAATGGTTTACTGACCGTACCGTCAGACTGCAACTAATCTCAAGATACCCTTCATCCAGTGTCTAAAGAATCCCCTTATGCTTTGGAAAAAGGGTCAAACTGAAATTGAATTGTGGAAGCATACCCTTGATGATGAGAAAGATGTTGTAGTAGTTTGGTGAATTTGTTTATACTAACTTGTTATAACTTTTGTGTGTGTTGTTCTATGTAGTTTTTCAATTGTCTGATATGACATTTATACATGGTAGCAGTGCGTTTTTCAGTACGTCCTTTTCTTGTTTGATATTGTGATATTGCATTGTTCGTGTATCTCTTGATGTAACAAAAAAAATTGATATTGCTTCTAAGGCTATTGTCTTTCTTACTGAGTTGTGGTTGTTCATCTAAAGGGATATTTTTGCCCCATTTCCAGGTGTTTTCGCCAAACTTCTGGGTCATTGCCTAAATTTTGGGTCATTGTTGGCCCACTTTTGGGCGGTGCTATTGATGTCTTCATCTTCACAATATGAGAATAATAACATCAAACTTTTTTGAAGCTCATGCCTTCCAAGATTCTTTGGCTTCTATCACTTGTCCATCAAGACTTGCCTTCTGCACTTATCTTTCAGGGGTATGACTATACACTATGTCTGACACTTTCCCTCGTAAGATCATTCTATTGAAAAGTGTATCCACTACTAACTTTCCATAAAAACTTATTTGTTGGGCTCTTCTTCCGGTAGTATGGGTGGAGACCTTGTCTGCCTATAACAATACTCGACATTTCCTAGGTTGTTAGTCTAAGATAGTCTTTTTGATGATTGTAACCTGTAACGGAAAAAGTCGGCGGAAATTCACCAAAGATTTTTAAACAATATGAAATTAATCGAAGCTCCCGCTTGACGACTGAAGCCTGTTATGGACGAGGTAAAATCAAGTCCCTGTGGAATCGATAAAGTCTAGAATTAGGTATTAAAGATCTTCGGTGTTTCTCGAGACTGATGAGTAGGTCAAGATATACGGTGTTTTTTTCTTGAAAATATAGTTATAATTATATTCAAAAATGATATATGGTGACTTGTTAGTTACTGCTTTTGAATTTGTTATCCTCAGATAGAGTGTTGTTTACACGAGCCTGTAAAATAACCAATATATCAAACTCAAAGAGATTAGCTTCTTGATCGAGTTGAGAAAGAACTCTAGTATGATGAGGGCGTTGAAGAAGTACCATTTGCAAAAAAAATTGCCCCTAGTCAAGAGGCTATTCTCGTAAACTTAATGTTTAAATGAAACGTGGGATGACTATCTCACCACAGTCATGCTCGAAATTTTAATGTGAACGATCTTTGGAAACTACAGTGAATATTGCCCTCTTAGTCTTGAAGTAGTTTTCATAGCCAGTGTCTGAATAAGATGCAGGAAGACTACCTAACCCTAATCGTGCTCAAGACGTTAATGTGAACGACATTTTGAGATTGCGACTAAGGTTGCCTGACACATTGAAGAATGCAAAAAAGTAGGGGCTCGACGTCTCAATTTTCAAGACTGTGTCTAATGGAACATTGTTTCCCACAAACCGTGTCAAGTTGTTGCGTGTTAAAATATCCACAGAGGAAAAATAATAAATGTGTCATAATGTTGTACGAAAATCTAATACACACAGATAAAAGAAAAGTATACAAAATGAGAAGCCTTTATTTTTTCATGTATAAAACCCTGAAAAGACAAAAAATTCACGGAGCCTAGCGCAGTTGAAATAATTCACTATATAATTGTAAGTATATAGATCACTCTTCACTTGAATTAGAGAAGATGAAATTACAATATTGATGTACAATAGTAGCTCAATAATAATAAATATAACGAGCAACAAATACCTTATTCGATTGTTATGAAGACGGTAGTCCGCTATGAATATTGTAGACGGTGGTTGTAGTGCTAGCTGGTCGTAGAGATCGTAATTGAAGGTTGTGGCAGCAGTTGGTTATGTAAGTTAGAGATGGTTGTTTTAGGAGCGTCGGTTGGCCATAGATGTTGTAAGAGGGAGCTACAAAAATTGTGAGCCATGTGGACCATAAATGGTAACATAGGCTGTAGTAGTGAGCTGTGATAACGTCAGTGGACCACAGAAGCCAGAATTGGGAGCTGCAAGAGCTGCAAGCCACGTATACAGTAGGTGGTCGCATAGGCCATAATGGTGAGTCGATAATGTTCGTAGGGCACATAGATTTAAGTTGGGAGCTGCTTTAGATGTTAGCCATGTAAGTCGTAATTATCACATAGGTCATAGTGGTAAGCCAATAACGTTCGTGGTGACAAAGACAGAAATTAAGGGTTGCGTTTGGGAGAGCTTATTTGCAGCGGTGGCGTTTTTAAAATGCCATATTCAGTTTGGAAATCCCATTTCAAGAGCTTTTTACAGAACTCTGTTTTTATTTTTCTATTAGACACAGATCGTAGGTAGGACCCCGCGATCTGCGTTTCATATGTTTGAAAGACACGGCTTGCCCCTCTCATCGCTCTCGTTCCTCCTCTGCCCTAAATTCGCACGTCGCTCTCGTTGCTCCTTCTCCCTCACCGATCGAGCACAGATAAACAACATTTTTCTTCTTCTCCCGCACTGTGCTGCCACTCTTCTGCGTTGCTCGTCGTTCCTCTCTTCTCCCTCCCCGATCGAGCATAGGTAAATAGTGATTTTTTTCTTCTCCCGCACTGTGCTGTCGCTCCTCTGTGTCGCTCTCGTCGATCCTCTCTTCTCCCTCACCAATCGAGCACAGATAAACAACTATTTTTTTTTCTCTCCCGCACTGATGCCGCTCCTCTGCTCTTGTTTCGTTTCCATAGCACTTGCTTTGATTTTCAAGAAATGCAAACGAGTTTCTTGGTTTTCAGTTGATGGATCGGTTTTAACAGGATTCTTACACCTAAATTTATATATCTTACACCTATATTTTATATGAAAATGCTGTGGAAGTTGCCTGGCTCCCAAGCATCACCAATGGCTTTATAACAGTAAATATCAAACTTTGGATGCTAGAAATGTAAACACATAAGAATTTTGTGGTTTCTATGTAAATATTCCATATAATGTGATGACATGAATATTTTTTTAAGTGTTATTACACTAATGCACGATTGCATTAAGAAGATTGGTAAATTTGTAAAAAGATCTGCAAATCAGTTGTTTACAAAACGCACAAACCAAATAGCTGCAGCTTATCGTAGTTTATCCAGTACAGGGGCAGATTGGTCATTTTTCCAGAATCAGTTGTTCTCTAAACGCACAAACCAAACAAACAGACAGCTTATCCGGATCAACTGCTTATCACCAGATTATTAGGATAAACAACTTATAGGGATAAGCTGCAGCTGCCCCAAACAGACCCTAAGAGCTACATGAATTGTGAGCTACGTAGGTAATAATTTAGTGACATATGTAATTATGGAGAGCTATAACAACATCCATAAGTCACATAGACGGGAGTTGGGAGCTACAAAAGCAGTGGATCACGTAGGTCATAATGATAAGTTGCAATAACATCCGTAGACTACAGAAATCAGAGTTGGGAGCTGCATGATATATGAACCACATAGAATGTAATCAGTCACGTAGGCGTAGTGATGAGCTGTGATAATATTTGTATGCCACAAAGGCCGAAGTTAATATTTGCATTAGCTATGAACCACATAAGTTAGAATTGATTACAAAGACCGTAGTGGTGGGTTGCAATAATGTCTGCAGGCAAAGCCGGAGTTAGGATTTATGCAAGCTATGAGCCACGTATATTGTAATTAGTTACACAAGTCATGGTGGTAAACTGCAATAATGTTCGTAGGTCACAAGAGTCGAAGCTGGGAGCTACATGATTTGTGTGTGACAATACCATAGTTGGTCACATATGTTGTAATGGTGAGTAGTTATACCATTTTCAGGGCGCGTTGTTGCACCATCTTCCAGACACATCATTACACCATCTTTGTGGGGCGTTGTTGCCCGTCTTTGGGACGCGTCTTGCACCATCATTGGGGTGCATCTTGTACCTCCTTTGAGGCGCATCGTTGCATGATTTTTCTGGTGCTTTGTTGTACCGTCATCGGGGCGTATCATTGCATTATGCTTTGTTACCATGTAAGATCCACTAATGGTGACTAGCATTGAGGCGGTTGGCGGTGGTTGATGGTACCAAGCGAGCGGTAGTCGATGGTGGTCTATAGCTGCGGGAGTAGACAACGTTTGTCAGGTATTCAGTGTAAAGCAACATTGGAATTTAGCTCCTCCCAATCCGGCTCTAAGTTTAAGTCTCTCCTCTCTTTCGTAAAGGGAGTATGACTTTATTTATAGAGCTTGGGAGTGGCCACCCTTTAAATAATAAGGGAATTCGGACCACTCCATCGAATGACCTACAGATATTTCCTCAATCAAATTGCATTTTTATGCATTTAAGTGTCTTAATGATGTTGGAATCTAGTGATTTTGGGCTAGTTGGATTCGTCTCATTGAGACACTCGATTAGATTATAAGTTTGTTAGATTTATAATCCATTTAACCTTCCAATTAGCCACACGAATCTTCTAAAAATGATTTCATGGCTTGATCTGGGTTTGATTTGACTCGAATCAGATCAATTTTGATGTCAATAGGTCCGTCTCGACGATACAGTCAATTTGACCATAAGTTTGCTGAAATTGGATTTCATGGATGATTTTAAATTTAGTTTGAAGGTTTATTGCTCAAAAAATGCCTTGAGATTCGTACTAATCGTCTCAAGATTTGTGTTAATTGGCAAAATTTGCTCCTGCCATATCAAAGCTTTTTATGTAATTCCTCTCACCATCTTATAGACCCCTATAATCCCTCCTACAGCTAACATTTAAAAATCACTGAAAAGTAGAACAAATTGAAAAGAAAAACCAATAAAAAGGCATTTCAGCTCATTCATCATGCATAGCAAAAAAAAAAAAAAAAACAAAAAAAAACAAAAAAAAAGCATCAATTTCTTGCGAAGCAGAGGTATTATAATTAATTGTCACCTTCACCACCACATCTGCTTTGTATGGTCTGCTCGTTCCCCAGATAATAAGGCAAAGTGTAGCAAATACTAAAACAAATGCAAGGAATGCGAGCACAAGCTGGCAACGACGAGAGAGGCCCTTATCCTCATGAAGATCATCATAAGGACCCTCTTCCTGAATCACTGTGCACTCAGGCCATCCCTTCTCATTCATCCTTTTCCCTCGCAACTTTCGCCCGGAGGATGAGCGAAAAATCCCAGAAAACCTACTGGAAGATGAGGTCCTGGACTGCCGGCCAAGCGACGGGTGCGAAGGAGATTCCATAGGGCTATTGTATACTGGTGTGGCTTGCATGGAGGTGGACTTATCTCCATCATGTGAGTCCCTTGAGGGACTCTGCACATAGTAGACTGGCCTCTTTGGTGACCAGCAAGGGGATGAGGGTGCCAAGCTTGTGACATCGGAATCGGATTTAACATGCATTTTCTTAACCTGCCATTAATGTCATGCAGTAGAATAAGAAAAACAGAAGGTGGAAATGAGCCAATTGCTGGTTTATAAAGAGGCGAAGAAATCTAAATGAATTTATTCAAATAAGTTTCCTGTATTATTCAGCCATTTCTATTTTCCAACTCACTGAAACAGTAGAACACTATAATTTCAAGAAAAGTTTAACAAATGTAGATTTTTTTCTTCCTTTTTTGGCCTTTTCAAAATAAAAAGCGCAGTCGGTAGAAATCAGAAACCAAGAAAAGGCCCTTTTTTTCCCCAGGGAAAAAAAAAGGATTTTTTAAGCTATGAGTTGTGCAGAAGGAATGAATTAGGTGGCGAGAAACAAGAAACTCCAAATGAACGGAGAGAAATTGAAAATTTCTCAGCTTTCACCATTCTTTTCTATCAATCTGACGGAAACAAAGAGATAAATAGATACCTAGAGTGAGCTCCCTTGTCCGCCTTCAGATTCTAATGGTCTGGCCTTAGATCCTTGCAAAGAACAGAGAGGTTTTCAGCTAAGAATCGAACTTTCTCTCTCTAACGTCCATGCTGACAGTCGGTGACGAAGGCACTCCAAACAACACAGACACAAGCTTGGCGCCACCATAGAAAGAAAGAGAAAAGTGGTGGCTAGAAGACGGTAGGCTCAGAGATAAAGCCACACTCAAGAGTGAGTGTCGGCAGAGGACAATTATCTTTTATCCCCCGCTAACTTCTTGATTTTTCAGATGGTAGTAGTATACCCTATATTAAAAATGAAAGGGGAGATTTACATACAGTACTCAATTCCAAGTTGTTTCCATATCTTAGATCTAACATCTACACTTCAATTTTTTCGTACCATCACATTAGCACCCTATAAAAATGATATTTTTCACTTCAAAAAATCAGTTAAAATAGTAGTATTTTTTATATGATATGAAAATTTTAGGTGATATTAATATAAAAAGTAAAATTTAGATTTTGGTTAGCTAAATTGGAATAGAGTGACATGTATGTTGTTGAATCCTAAATAGCCATTTAGATTAAACATGCCTCGAGAGTTGGAGCGAGGAGAAGGAGAGTAAACGAGAGATTAGAGCAGACAAAGAACTCTTGAGAAAGAAGTCGGGGAGAAATGTCTCTTTATTCGTCTTCGTACCTCCTATTTTTAAGGGTTTTTTTTTTTACAATTTCAGAAATGAGGAAACGGTTATGAAAATCGCCATTAATGAAATTAATGTGTTAGATTAATACAAAATTTGTGTGGCTATTTAAGTGTAATACAACTATCATTAACGAATCGATGCATTTTAGTTCAGATTACCAGCGTGACCAGTTGCGTGACTATCACTCCTACATAGCAAAGCCAGTCGATCGACTAGTTTTGATTAGGCGGCCATAAAAGAAGTTTGGGTAGCTGGGACCATAAGCATGGTCTGTCGATTGAATCCCTTGACTGTTTGGGTATCCCCCCCCC